CCCCTGGCTCCGCCCCTGTGCAAGCACTCTATAAGAATTAAAATAATTTATATTTTGCTGGCATAAAAAGGGAGAGAAGAGGAGCCGGCTACTGAATAAGAGCCAAGTGCAACATATGCTCCTAGGCATTATCTGAGTGTAGATGATGGGCTATGTAGTAGTAAAGTAGCACATTTTTAATCTAACTATTGTACTTGCCGATAATAAATTTAGCTGTAGATGACATGACAACATCATACAGCCATCAGCTAGCTGCACTGTTAACCATGCACTCAAAACCTAGATACCGTGTTAGGAAAAAAACAGGTCATAGTTGGCTGGCGACGTGCTCGTTGATCAATCAATGATTGTGGCTGGCGATCTTATCCACCGCTCGAAAATTCTATTCTAATAAAATTAAATTAGCTGGCGTTTCTCTGCTTGAAAATACAATAGGATATTATACGATTCTGCCATTTCAACGTTGAGAGTTTTATTTATTTTGCTAGAGTGGTCGGTGGATTTTGTTGACATGGGCGCACAACTCCTCCACTCCGTTCCAGTTATTTATAGGTATGAAAAACAGTTGAACTAGTTGACGCCTGATTAGCAGACCCTCGTGAGGCGATCTCCACCGATGGCGGATGCGGAGGCGCCGGCGGCGAAGCGGCTGGCCCGCGCGGGCAGCTTCTCGGGAGTGTGGTGGAAGCTCGGCGATCCCGCCGGGGACCCGGCCGCGGTCGAGCGTCGGCTGCGCGCCGTCGCCGACGAGGAGGCAGCCGTCCGTGCCCGCATTAGCAGGCGCCACGCCGGTGCCTGCGGCGTCCGGCGCGGCATCGCCGTCGCCTCCCTCGCCATCGAGGTCCATCACCTATCTTCATCGTCTGCTAACTCTTTCATCCGTCGTTGCTCCCATCAGCCGTCATCTTACCTGATCTGATAACCCCCTGTACATTTATTCACCATTTCGGCATGCTGGTCAGGTGGTGGCGTTGGTGCATGCTTACTGGACGGCGAGGCGGCGGCGCGTGGCCGGCTGGAGCAGGAAGCTGCTGCTCCTGCTTGCGCCTCCTCTGCTCGCCGTACCGGCCTCGGCCGCCGTCGTCGTGGCCGCGTTCGCCAGGCTCCACAACATGTGTAAGTTCATACAGTATCAATCAAGCACCGGAAAGAAATTAAGATCAAGCATCTCCGAGATCGATGGTCAATCATTTCTGTTTGATTGATGAAATTCTGCATATGGCAGTCGAGGCGCGGGACGAGCAGCGGCTGAGGGCGCTGGTGGCGGAGCGCAAGGCCAAGATCGGGCAGTTCAGAGGCAGCCACCACAACATGCACAAGCTCATCGAGGTCTCCACTGTACGTCCTGCTTCTCTCCTCTCCTGCATACACACACTCATTCATATACATACATACATACACCAAATCAGTCACCATATACTACTAGTGTACACACATGCTGTGATCTGATGCCCATCATCATGAGTCATGATGCAGTTTAATACTGCATCTGATGCTATTAGATTTTCTTCTGCCTGATCAATTAACGTGCTGTGCTCATCGCCATGGATGGATGCAGAAGTACGATCCAGATGCTGCTGCTGCTGCTACTTCCGACCAGCCGGTCACTGCCGCCGCCGCCGGGAGGATCAAGCGGAGCCACTCGCGGCTGAGCTTCCACATCGGAGACGACTGACTCAACCTCCATCCACCTTCTCCGCATCATCCATCCATGGCGACGACAACGACATCACATCGTGCGTGGAACATTTGTCTTCACCGTCCGTCAGTACTGTAAATTTAGTGGCACTACCATCATAGTAAGGCATGCTACGTGAAAAAAAAGTGTGGCTTCAGGCATATTTATACACGTACATTGGTTGGTTGGTTTGGTTGTACCCTTGGGCTTTTGAATTGGGACACTTTTTTTGCGATTCAATTCGGGTTGTGCTGTGAGCCAGCCTTTGTGGGTTGGCATATCGTACGTTGCTGGCATGGCACACCATCACATCATGCTGCTAGCTTGGATGCATGTCTGTCCTGAGATCTTGGCATGCCGGAACGTGCCCATCATAACCACAACCACAGCACAAATGTACGCATATAATATGAACCAGAGAGGGTTTATCTCAGTGGTTAGCTAGGCATGCGGTTGTGCAGTCTAATCATCCTAGTTCGATTCCTAAAACTGACAGGTGATTCACAGGGATTTCCCCTCATACCGGCCCTAGAGCGTATCGAGGAATTATAGTATCATGTGCCTATTATTCTTGATTCTAACTCCACGAGCCCAACTACGCCCTTTCAAATTTGAACTGGGATCGTTGCACTGGGAAGACTTTGAGGACATAATCAAGAATGTATGGTCTCATAGAGTCGAACGATATCCTCATGACACCTTTCTTTGAAGAGGCTCACCATAGGTCGTACACCTATTCAGAGATATAACTTTAAAATAAGAGCCATAAGGCAACACCTCTCTGAATGGGCGAAAAACACCAATGAAATGTACAAAAAAAGCAAAGCCTATCCACTATTATTGACGACCTCGACAAAATCGCAGAGACTCGCATCTTGTCGCAATAAGAGATTGAGTTGAAAAATCAATCCAATGGGAAAGTAAATCAATCCAATGAGAAAGTTGCACGTCTTTTGTGAAAAGAGGAAATCAAATATTACCAAAGATCTAAGGCCAACTTCATCTTAAAGGGAGACAATAATACACGTTATTTCCAACTCGTCACCAATGGTCGGCATCGGAAGAAGGTAGTTTCACATTGACAAAGCCCAAATAGATGACATTTCACAAGTCACGACAGAAGAGAACAATATCCTCAAGGCACCTTTCTCTGAAGAGGAGGTGAGATTTGCGGTGTTCCAAATTAAACATAACAAAGCTCTAGGCCCGAATCGCTTCCCCACAGAATTCTGTTAGAATTTCTGGGAGGTCATCAAGATTGACCTTTTGGAATTGTTCAATTGTCTTCATGCCGGGTAACTTGACCTATTCGGGCTTAACTTTGGCGAGATCATTTTGTTGCCAAAATTAAGCAGGCTGAGCGGATCCAACAATATAGACCCATATGCCTCCTTAATGCCAGCTTCAAGATTTTCACCAAAGTGACTACTAATAGGTTCAACATAGTTGCTGACCATGTCGTCCGACCATCTCAAAGGACTTTGGTGCAAGGCAGAAATATACTCGACGGAGTAGTAATCCTACATGAGACTGTTCCTGAGATGCACCAGAAAAACATGAGTGGAGTAATTTTTAAGATTGACTTTGAAAAGGCCAATGACAAGGTCAACTTGTCTTTCCTTCAATAGGCTATGAGAATGAAAGGGTTATCTGATAAATGGCGCTGGTGGATCCAAAACTTCTGCCGCAGGCCATTATTTCAGACAAAAAAAGGTCTACGTCAGGGTAACCCCATGTCTTCAATGTTATTTAACATTGTTGCTGACATGGTGGCTATCCTAATTGATCGCGCCAAGTAGGACAACCAGATTGCAAAT